CTCAACATACAGATTAGATTCTGAAACTTATTAAAACAAATTTTCAAAATGCAATAATTAAATCACGAAATACTGCTTCTAAGCACTCCTATGACTCAGTTAATTTTCATTTATTTGTGTTGGTTCCAATCTTGGTTGGAATGACTGCAAAACACTTACCCCTCCCCAATTTATAGACAAACCTTACAGATGATTTCTTGGGTTTCTTCCTTGTAAATAAGATAGGCCACATCTCAGTCTCGTCAAACTAAGTTCTGTTCTTTGTTGTCTAGAAGCTAGAATGCTGTGATTGCATGTCTGTATACCCTTTTGTGTATTAACACCATTCTTAGTTTGTGAACCTTTTGCCATATTACTATTGCTTTGCCTTACTATTATTGCTTTGCCTTATGACTGTTGCTTTGCATTGCATATATTTTTTGCTTGCTTAATATTACTTTTGCACTGTTTTTTTCTTTTCTTTCTCTTGTTATTGTTTATTGCAAACTTAGTCAACTCTGTTTGTTGGGCATTTCTGCCACTTACATTTAGCCATGGCCAATTACTCTCTACAATATGTATACCAGTGAATGACATTCTTTGCTTTGATTGGATAATTTTAGTCATATAATACTAGCATATTCTGTTTCTTTCACTAATTTCATCAGAAATATGCACAGAAGTAAGATGAAGTTGGGAACAATTTTACAGTAACACACTTAAAATATTGTAGAAACCAAGATTGAGTGTTCTAAGAGGAAGAAAAATGTATTAAAACTTTTAATTCAAATTATATTTATTATTTCTTTTTACATGTGAAATATGTTGTGGAAATTTTAGTGTCTGCTAACTTAGTATTTGCTTGCCCACTATATTATTAGAATGAATTAAAGTTTTGGTATGTTTGTGTTGTGGCCTTGTTAGGGCCAGAAATAAAGACACAAAGAGAAGAATTGAGTTAAACAAATCTATTAACAGAAACAGTAATACAAACATATACAAACGAGAGTGTTACAGCAAGAATGTTCGGTCTGACTGTCAGAGCTGACTGCTGGAAACTTCCCTCTCTAAAAGGCAGTACCTGCTCCTGTTTATAGCTGAGAGAGTCCATGCATGCATGAGTAAATTACCATAACAGTTTGCTTAATAAACCCTACCTGATATGGCTGATGCAAATAATCTGTCAATCCTGAGAGTTGTGTTATCTTTTTTTATTCTTCATATGTACTTTTTTTTTTTTTTTTTTCTTTTTAATAATTTTTCATCAAATACAAGGCCCAAATGCTACTCAAGGCAGAGGATTACTGAATGTGGTTGTTGAACTTTAGGAGATAAGACGTGTAGATTATGAGGATATGTAAAAAAGATAATAGTTGGCCCTAGATTTGAAATGGTTCAGATTGTAGTGATCAAAGAAGTATCCTCTCAGGAGTCTGTTCCACAAAGTAGCCATTGTTGGGAAGAGACTGTTTTAATGGAACTTCCTTCTTACAAATGGAATACAAAAGGAATGGAATGATTCGTCCCAGTGTACATGGTATGGCAGGTCTTAGTGGTAAAGGCTTGTATAAATACCGTCTTCAATAACATAGGTATAAATACCGTCTTCAATAACATAGGTATAAATATCATCTTCCATAACATAGGTATAAATACCATCTTCTATAACATAGATATACATACTGTCTTCAAAAAAGCAAACACAGAATGATTGAATATTGATATTTCACTGTTTGTTTCCTCAATCTTAGAAACACTATGACTACTGGTAATTTTCATTGTTTATTAGAAAATAGAAGGATATGGGGTAAGATAGATGATAAACTGGTTTACAGGTTAAAACAAATTTGGAAGGTTGTTTTATTTACCTTACAATAAATTAAATGAAGGTGCAATCAGTCAGATTCATCAAGAAAACATTTTCTGAAATTATTCAGTATTTCAATGCTGATTTGTTTTTTTTAAGGCGTCAACTCCATCCCAACTTAGAAGATGGACACAAGACAATCTTCCAAAATTATCTTTTTAGTTTTCCACATTTGGCCTTGTGCCAAACAAGGCCCTTAGCAAATTGAATTAGAATTAAAGAAATATTTTGATATTTCTTAATTTTAAATTCATTTCATTTTATTGATTTTTGCTTATGTAGAGACTTACAGCCATATCACATTGAAACACAGGTTCTTATACAATTATCAAAGTTAAGCAAGGTCAAGCCTGGTCAGTATGTAGATGGGTAATCGCTTGGGAATGACATGTGCTGTAAGCTTGGATGTGCAGACTGTCTAATGGATAAAACTTGTAATTGGACCTCTGAGAGCCAAGTTCCAATTCCAATTGGGTTCATTATATTCAGTTAAGCACAAATACTCTTGAGGAAGGTATGAATCTACTTCATTAAATCCTTATCTCAAAAAAAAATTCTTACCATCTAAAAATATTTTCTGACCTGCAAAATGTTGATAAACTATAAAATATAAGTCAGTCAGTTTACGTCTGTAATAAAATTTCTTGGAATTCTTTCCAATTTATTTAAATTGCAATATCTTTGGATATTTTGACCACAGATTGAACCACGTTCCTCATTAAGAAAAGCATAAATTTAAATCCAAATGGTGAACTCTTCAATTGCTATATCAACAAAACTTTAAGTGAAATAATTTGGGGGTATGCCCCAGTCTTTTTCATTTCTTGAAATTTTTTTTTCAATTTATTTCAATTGCAATAATATCTTTGGATATTTTGATTATGATGCATCCCATATGTGACCTGTCCTGGGTATGACGATAAAATACATCCACGTCCTGGGTAAGACAGTAAACTACATCCAACAGCAAGGCCTCTGATCAGGAGGTTTTGAGGAGTGTGGAACCACCTCTTAATTGCTGGTGTTCCCAGGTCCACCCTCACTTGGGGTGGTAGCACCTGTTAGGGTCCCAACTATGGGCAAAAAGTTACCCCCACCAAAAAAAGGGGTCAAAACACTATGAAAGTGTAAAAATAGGTTTTAATACCAGAAATACTGTGTAAAAAATTATTACCAACAATACATTATTACCAGCAATACATTATTTTTTTGAAAAAATAAATATTACCAGAAGTACATTTTTGAAGGAAAAAAAAATATTACCAGGAAGGGTTGAGGCAGAGGTAGGAAGAACATGTTGATTTTTCCTTTGACTTAGTATTGCTTATGGCCAGATGAAGAGAAAAGATTGTGTTGCATCAGTTTTCTTTTTCAGGAGTGTCTGTCTGTCTCTAAAATAATCAATCAGGTAATAGCTTTTTAGATATGTTCAAACTTTGCCCACTACCTCAGCCACAGAGCAGGCTTTTATCCGTCAAATAAACATGATACATGAAGGTTAAAATATCCAAAAGAAGTATTGCAATAGAAATAATTTGAAAAAAAAAATGAATATTGAAGAAATGTTATTACAATAGAAAAAGGAAATAAATACTTTCTTACATAAAAAAGAGAATCTAAAAATTCTTATTCGATATTTACTTAGCCGTAGTCTGGTACAAGTTTATGTGGAAGTAAGTTAGGGATATAAAGATTGTATTATGTTAGTTTTTCCAGTGAGTATAACTTAATTCATACATTAACTATTGGTCTTAGTAAGCAGTGTACCTCAGCCTCTATTTTAGTTTCTGCAAGTTAGTGACTTTACACTGTGTCAGAAGGAATATGTTTAAATATTGTTGTACTTGTAGACCATTGCTAAGTCTAGAATGGGATCAAATTGAGAAAGAAAGGAAGAAGTTGAAAAGATTGCGTTACATTAGACTTTCATGTGGACACTGACCAGTTTTTTTCTCTATATAATATATTCTTTATTAATGAAGGGAAGTGAAATACATTTTTATTTTAAATAAAACATCCTCTTATATACAAATAAAAAAGGTGGAAGGGAACTAAATTAATGTATGTTTATATAAGCTGTAGATGTTCACAAAACAATTTAAACTGGATAAAATGACTATATATATATATATATATATATATATGTGTGTGTGTGTGTGAGTGGTGTAATGGATAGTGACTTGATGTAAAATTGGAGAGCCAAGTTCAAATTCCAGTCGAATTTGTTACATTCATTTATCTGCTAATACCCTTTGGAAAGTGTTATATAACATACCTATAAACACTAATGGGTATGTTCCAATCCTGATAAATGTTGGACACTATTATAAGTAGGGTAATATGCTGTCTAAGTAGTCCACCATTAGCAGTGGTTTACCTACTTCACACTGCTGGCAAGTATTGTATTTTGTTAATGTTATAAAGATTGCCATTTCATTTTCAACCTCTGTTTTAGTTATTCCTCATTCAAAGTAACCCTTTCTAAGTTACAAGGTATGAATCTATCTGCTCATCTTCTTGCCATGGATTAACCTTGATTGACAACCAATTCCGTTAGAAAAGGACAAATCTGATATCAAAACCTAAGAAGGGCTATTTGGAGACCTTGTGGCACACGAGATGCACTGGCTCTCTGTATTTAGTTCTTCCAAAGAAATGTGTTTGGTTCTGCACAAACCTTTACTACTATAATCAAATCATGTGTGGTTAGCCTGGCTGTATGGTTCTAAGAAATGAGTTGGACCCTCGTACATCTAAGACAATGAGAGAGTTAATTTATTTTTATGTGTGTGTGCATACATAAATGTAGCTTTATACATCTGTCATCTGACATGTATACAGCTGTTAGCAGACTTTTACACTTAAACTGTACAATTGATTTATGGAATTAATATACACCATTGAATTAAGTGCATTGAAAAAGGAGGATATCATGTTACAAAATACATGTTTTTGAAAAGTCATTTTTTTAAATAATTATTTTGCAACATAATCTCATATTTTCTGAATGGTCTTAATCACAGATTTAATATTATACAATGAAAGTTTCAGAGCAAATTTGAATTTAGAGTAAGTAAAATATTTTAAAAAAAAAGAGAAGAATACAATAATCTCTTGCTACAATTTACATTAAAATGTTAGAGAGTCAAAGACTTATGGTCATATCACATTGAAACATTGGTTCCCATACAATCACTGAAGTTAAGCAATGCCAAGCCTGATCAGTACCTAGATGGTTGATCATTTGGGAATACCAGGTACTGTAAGCTTGGATGTGTTAGGGATGGAATGGATAATGGTTTGGCATTGTTAATCAGAGAACTGAGTTCCAATCCTTGTTGAGCTTGTTATATTCACTTATATGCAAATACCTTTGGGAAAGTTATGAATCCACCTCTTCTTCCCCCAGCTATGGGTTAATTAATAAGATTTGTATCACTAAACCATTATTACCTAAAATAAAATTGTTACAATCTAAAACTATTTCCTGGCATTAAATAACATGCAAACTGTTATAAGGCATAAAAAAGAAATCAATCTATTAACTGAATTCTGATGTATCAAAATTTAAAACTTAGCCTGTTTCAGTCAACTTTAATATAAAAATCAGTTCTTGCTGAAGATAGAACTCTGGAACAAAATCATGATAGTAATGATAATGAAAAAGAATGAAGAATTTCTATTCAACAATTAATAAATACATATTTTGTCTATAAATATTTCAATAATATGAACACATAAGATCTTTAAAGTAGGCTTTAAATTTTATGGCTTAATTAAAGAAACTTAGAATTTTTCTTCTTCTTCATATATTGTGTCCCCTCAGGATGTATGTGACCATAGCTCTCCACAATTTCCTGTCTTAAACCTTGTCACACCAACTATTTACTGAAGCTCACTAAGCATGTTATGCATTGTTTTCTTCTGTCCCTCTTGCCTTCATTCTGTCCTGTGAGTATCAAATTTTCCAAGCCCATTTAACTCATTATGTGACCTAGAAACCTCAACTGTTTCTTCCTGATATTAAGTATAAGTGTCCTTTTTGTTTCCATTTTCTCTAAAACTTTGTTGCTACTCTCACATGTTTGGTTCATGGTATCCTCAGCATCCTTCTGTAAAACCACATTTCTGTTGTTTCAAGTCTCTTCTTCATATTTGAGGAGATTGTCCAGTATTCATTGCCATATAGGATGAATGATATTATTTAACAGTTCGGTAATCTTTGTTTGTAACAAAGTTTTTCTACTTCTTATTACTCTTCTTAGCTTTTGGAATGTGATATGTCCCGGAAAGGGATATATTTGATCGAAGTAGCTAAGTGGGTTAGGCTACTGTAACCGAGTAGGACAATCTAGCAGGTAGCCGTAATGGACTGGTCCTCGTTGTAGTCACAGTCAATAGGTGTAGGCAATAGGCATAGACCAATAGGATAGCCAATGGCATAGTCCAATGGGCATTGTCCTGTACCTCTACATCAGCCTGTATTCATGGCTGACACCAGCCAATCATATTCCTGTGAGGGGGAACACAGGTGTATGCATATTTATTGCATCAGAATGCATCTTTGACTCTCTTCAGATTTCAATGTCGCACTTTCCATCCTTTGTAAAAACAGTTACCAGACATTAAACATTTTGTACCTGTTTGATTTGGGTATCTTCAATTTTTAATTTACATTTTGGGCTAATCCTTTTGTTGACAACCATGAATTCTGTCTTGAAGTTGATATTTAATCCTTTCTTCTCTCTTTCATTCATTACCTTCTGTAGGAATTTTTGTAGTTTTTTCTGTGTCTACTATCAACACTTTCTCACATAGCACACCTATAAACTAGTGACTTACCTGACGCAATATAAGCACTTGATTAGTGATAGAGACTAATAGAATATTGCCTTAGAATATCCAAATTTTATGGTTTCCTTAAAACTCCACAAAGCAGGCATCCAAATGCATCCCATTATTTCAGGTATTGACAGCACTCCTCACAAACTGGTGAAAACTATAAAGAAAATTTTAACCCCTCTCCTTGCAACAATCACCCCATTACATATAAAAAAATTCAGGCAACCTAGTTGAAAAATTAAGCGAAACAAACATGGCTGACAAACTCATAGACAGTCTAGATATAAAATCACTTTACACCAATGTCGCGGTTAATAAATGCTTAAATCTTTTTAAAAAGCATCTAACACAATCAAAAATAAACCTTTCCCTCCCTATAGCTAAAATAATAAAAATCTATCTCGTCACCAATCAATGGTATTATACATTTAAAAATAATTTTTATAAATAAAAATTTGGGTTACCATTTGGATTGCCCCTAAATGGAATGATAGTATGTATTTTCTTAGAATTTCTTGAATCTGGTCCTTTCCAAAATTTTTAACTAAACAATCAGCATACTTTTGATATATTGATGATGCTTTAATAATATAACCTTGTGGTACTGATTTAGTTGATCTTTTACAAAAACAAAACAAAATCACCGTTCTGGGTATGACGATAAACTACATCCACGTCCTGAGTAAGACGATAAACTACGTTCAACAGCAAGGCCTCTGATCAGGAGGTTTTGAGGAGCATGGAACCACCTCTTAATTGCTGGTGTTCCAAGGTTGACCCTGACCCGGGGTGGTAGAACCTGTTAGGGTCCCAACTATGGGCAAATAGTTAACACCCAAACTTATGTAAAAATAGGTTGTAATACCAGAAATACTTTGTAATAAGAAAAAAAAAATTATTAACAACAATAATTTTTGAAGGAAAAATTATTATCTACCAAGTGAGAAATTTAAAACTTTTTATGAAAATAAAACCATCCAAGATTATAAATTTCCTCAAAGAAGTTTGATTGTACTAAAAAATATGAGTAATTGAAAAATAGTTCAAATGTATATGTATACATGCACACCTTTTTTACCAAACTATCACTATGAATCTATTCTAAAAAATTTTGTTGGCATTAAATGACCCACTGAGGTTGATATGCCATAAAAAAAAACAACCAACCAACCAAAACAAAATCAAATATACAATGGAATTTAAGTAAGAAATGAAAACAAACAATACTTTCACTATTTATCATGCTACATCAAATGAACAGTAGCTTAAAACTTTGTGTCCATCAAAAATTAACTAATAAAATTATCTCTTTATACTGTTTATATTGTTTAGACTGTTGTCTTCATCTTTGTCATATTCATGATGTCCCCAAGGACACATGGCCAAGTGGATAAAAGCATTGGTTGAATTAATCCAGGGATTTGACCAAAGAGTTGTGAGTTCAATACCTAGACACAGCAGAGGTGAGCAAAAACATGGAGAGTTGAGTTACTAAAGGGAGATAACTGAAACTGAGATATCCAGAAAAGATATGACATGTGGAAGTTGAACAATCTAAATTAAGTCATTTTGAAATTCCAATGTATATCCCCTGAAGAAGTATGGAGCAACAATCCAAACAATGTAAATAGTAACAATACCTCACCTCAGAAAAATAGGCAGAAAAATGATCTCATAAATTTCTACTCTCATCATAACAACAAAAAAAAATAAAACCCAGAATAATCATCACATTCTATTTAAAAGCACTCAGAATTTGATGCTCTCAGTATTTGTATGAAGAGGAATGGCATATCAAGGGTGCTTCTTCCAATACCCAAACTATTTCATATTCAATACAAATAAAATATTTTAAAATAGAAAAGTGATCCTTCCTCACAAATCCAACAAATTAAAATATATTGTTCTACCCAGCAACTCTATCACAACTACAACTGAAAAGAATTTATCTAAATTCAGCATGAAATTTGTTACAACTATGTCTAAAACAAAATATTTAATTAATAAAAGAAAAAATAATAAGCTCAAATTTGAAGGAGGAATTTACTCTATTACCTGTAATAATTGCCACAAGGAATACATTGAAGAAACCTAAAGGAATTTAAATAAAAGCTTATATGAGCATGAAAGAGACCTTTTACAAAACAACACATTAAATACATTGGTTGCTTGCTGTGGTTTTCTCTGTATGTACTTCTTGTGACAATTATTACAGGTGATGAGTAAATTCACCCTCATTTTTTTTCTTATTATCATTTTGTTTATTATTAAATAAGTCTTTTGTTGTTTTAGAAGTAGTTGTAACAAATTTTATGTTATATCCTTTTCAATTGTAATTGCATTAGAGTTGTTGGGTAGAAAATTGTTCTTGATATAAAAAAAATGTATATATCATTATATATATATATATATATATATATATACACACACACACACGAGAAAGAGACAGATGACATTTAAAAAATACAAAAATAAACAAAATATAATTTAGTATGATTTTGAAAATAATATAATGCAATATAAAAATATGATTCTAAAATATAAAATGAAATACAATACTGAAATATTATTTGAAAATAAAGTATAAATTATTTTACCTATGCAAACCATAGCAGTGACAGTTCTGTTTTTTTCATTCCCAATGTTTCCTAAAGACAGTCAATATGAAAAATGTTTCCTGTCATGGTTGAAAAGATAAATATAATTTAGAAATATAAATTAAAAAATACTACATAAATTTTTAATTTTAAAATATCACATGAAAATATTAAAAAATGTAAGAAATGATTTAAAATAAAATATGAGTGTAGGTAAATAATTGATATTGAGACATGCTGGTTCAATAAAAGTGCATTGTTGTTTAAAATCCATTCCTCTCATACCATCATGGCAATATCACGACAATTTTAAATTCTGCCACCTCCATTGAAAGACTGAAATGAATTGCCAGTTTTAAATCAATTTTTCTTAACGAGCTTACCAATCTCATTTCTAGGACAGAAGCATAGATTTTAAAACAGCTTCCTTACAACTGAATTTAGTAAAAAGAAAAACAATTAATTGTCCATTGTACAAGGTGGGTGTCTGGTATTTGGCAAGCTAATTTGCCTTATTTTAAATTTGTTTTCTTCCTTGTGTGTATGCTTGTTGCATTTGTATACAAACTAAGCAAATAAGAATAAAATGGAACCTTATAAACTGTAGCCTTCAGCCTTCTGTACTAGCCATTTATTTCCATTAACATTTCTTTGATAGACAAAGAAGTCTGCTTAGAAACTTCATTAACTTAGAATTCTCAAATTTCCCAGCAACCTTCTGCTTTATTTTTAGTTGCAGTATGTATTAATAACTTTACATGAATATTTATTCAAAGAACATTTTTTGAAATGTTGTACACACACACATATAGATAGATAGATATACAG